CAAGTGCATTACTACTAGTAACAAGAAACTATTAGCAACAAGTGCATCGCTATTAGTAACAAGAAGGGATTAGTAACAAGTGCATTGCTATTTGTTTTTGTTTGTTTGACGCTTTTTTATATGTTTTTTCGATTTTCCCTCAAGGCACCAAGCGATCCCACAATGCGCATTGTGCGCACTGGGGTGATGGGCCTGGATACCCAGCATACACAGTGAGGGAAGTTGAGCTTTGTTTTTGATACATGAGTTTCCCCAGGAACACATGGGTATTCCCTACTCTAGACTCCAGATTACGGTAATGTTATCAGAGACGTAGTTACATGGTTACATGGTTCCTTTTCCACAATTTGTTACATGGTTCCTTTTTTGCTCTTTTCTCAGCATGTGGAACGGATTGATAATAACGTTTGTGCAGCTTCTCCATGTCAAGCTTGATGGCTTCACCTTTTTGATGCTCACCTTGTTGTGGCTCCTCTTTCTGAGGCATGTGTTCAAGTATCTCCTCTGTATCTTGACTGGAAGAGCTATTTTTAGGTTCAATCGGCACCGTGGATCACTCCACTCTTTGCCTTGCTGAGGATACGGTCTCCAACTCTTTGCGAGTCTTGAAGACCATTCGTCAGAGCTCTGAGGACGGCTAGAAGTGGCCACGGACGACTGGTTCGCGTTAGGAAAGACATTTGCGATTGACTCTGACTGACTCCGACTGACTAAGATGGAACCCCAGGACCTCTTGCTGCAATACCAGTGTAGCTTTTCTGCAGGAAGCGGAAGGCTATTGGGAATCTGCCCAGCGAGTGATCCAGCGTCAGCTGGCTCAGATCATTGTATTGTACTCTTTGTGGGTGCAGAAAACTTTCACTACCGTATTTGAGTGGAGGCTTTCGAAGGATGCTTTTGAAACTGCACCTTGCTTGATTGACAGCTGGAGCGCCGATCTTAGAGTAGCCGTTCTTCAAGACCCGATACCGAATCGTTTATTCATTCCTTCCCAGCATCATGGCGGAACCTTCCATGACATCCAAGTGCTTGGCGGAATCTTGGCCAGAGCTGTATTTTCAGAGCTGATTTTGTACCTCCAAACATCGATGTCTGGCTGAAGCATTGCTAGTGCATCGCTACTAGTAACAAGTGCCTTACTACTAGTAACAAGGGCGCTACTAGAGGCTCCTGGCCTTACTACTAGTAACAAGGGCATCGCTACTAGTAACAAAAGAGCAATCCAGAATCCTCTGCTATTTGTGCTTTGTAAGGAGTTCATCGGTACTGCTCTATTGATTTTCACTGTCGAGTGCAACGTTTTGGTGGCCAAGTCAGAAATCAGTTTGTAGCAATGGCAAGCAGCTTTTGATGCATTCTAGATTGCTTGGAAGACTTTTCAAGGGCATTAGGTCTTGGAGTCTTGGACTCAACTATTCCGTGCTGCCAACAAGCATGCACTTAAAGTGAAGGGTCCCCGGTCTTCTGCTTGAGAGCTCCTCGCTGTTACAAGCAACATGTTTTCTTTTGCACTTCCTTTAGAGGGAAAGTTCTTCAAAGGCCTTTAGTACAGCTAAGCACGCTTTCTTTACCCGGACGTTTTAGAGCCACCTTCAGAGCTGCACTGTACTCCAGTGAGCAGGGTTGTACTTAGCCTGCTCAGTGCTGCTTGCCAAGGTGGGTTCTCCCCTTTTCGCTGGGCTGTCCATTGGCACCGTGCTTTTTGTTGCCATCCAGGTAACTACTCAAGCTTTTGTTTATTCCAAACATGGCACTGGCAGGAGAAGAATACTTTCAATTTTGTCTTGGTGAGTTGCAACGTAAAAGCACTAAGCATCAAACTGATCAAAACCTTGCAGGCCCTTGGAGGCATCAGCGGTGGAAACTTCAACCCGGCAGTGTCTGTGTCCTTGGGCTGTGTGAGCGCCTTTGGTGGCCCTGGAATGCCCTGGAAACAGGCAACACGGACAACTGACTGATCCAAACACATGGAGTCAACGGAGTTGTGATAGAGAATTCTGATCAAATGAATCACTCCACATGTTTTCGGTTGTTTTGGTATTGTTTTTGCCGCTCATTTGTTATTCTATTTTGCACGACTAGTTTCACATGTTCTTCTTCGCGCCACTTTGTTTGCAGCCTGAATCACAGGCCTTGGGGCTGGGAGCTTTTAGAGCAGGAAAACAACCAAGACCGAACCCACCTTTTGGGATGCTTCTTGAAAACCTTCTTCGGGCTTCTCGTGCACAGCCATCACAGCTGCAGGTGGGAATCTACTGTTTGACCCAGGCCGAAAAGCTTGAATTTGCAGTGAAGTAAAATAAAAGAAGCCAAGGATTCTTTGCAATTGAACTCAATTTCGCTGGCCAATGTCTTGCAAGCAGCAACGAGACAGGTAGGACTTGATTCAAGTCGACCAGATGATGATTTATTTTTGGGAATATCCGGACAGTCAAAGATCTTTTGTTGCTCTCGTTCGCAGATTGTGGGTGGTACTGTGGCTGCCCTGACGGCCTCCCTCATGTTCGGCAAGTCTGCCAGCTTGGAGGCGGACCTGTAGCTGAATGGCACCAGCTGTATCACACGAAAGTCATGTTGTTTCAGATTCTGTTCTGTTTGCAAGAGCCTGACTGAGGTTGTTGAGATTGGTAGCAACCTTCCAGTTCAAGCTCAACAGATGAGCAAAGATCCTTTGCACTAGTCCCATCTAGTCCCGACAGTCCCAAGATGTGACATTTTTTCTCCAATAGTTGGTTGGCCACCGTCATTATATATTTTTTGTCGTTATCTTGCCCCATTCTTCCTGAAGTGTTGGGAGGTGACTTCCGGCTACACTATGCTCTCAGCTGGCATGTGTGAGCTCTTCTACACCTTCATGCTGCTGGACGACTTGTTCAGATTGTGTAGCTGGTAGCCGTTTTGAAGTGTTCTCAGTTCTGAAGTTTGCATTTTGTTCCGACAAAACCAGAGGGTGGGTCCGGTGGGTGGGGTCTATCTCATTAAGAAAGACACACGGAGGCTTTGCTTCGTGGTGCTCAACGTAGCTGCAGCCAAGAAGAACCAAGAGGACTGCTCAAATGGTGCGAACGTCTTACACAACCAAGGAGGCGTGTCATGATAGCGTTTGTTTCCTCATACTATGCTGAAGTTAATTAGGGACTAACCTGGTGCAACGAGAGGAGACTGAGAGGCAGCAAGTGCAAATGAAGGATCCATCACTAGCATTCTTGTGACTTTGCAGTTGCTGCGCTACACTTGCATTCCGACCAGGAGAAGGGCCAGTACTTTGCGTTGGCCATTGGCTTTTGTGTGGTGGCAGGTGCTTATGGTGCTGGTGTGATCTCTGGTGGTGCCTTCAATCCAGCTGTTGCCTTCTCTTTGGATGTCACCAGCAGCTCGGAGAGGGGCATTTTATTCCGAGCGTGACAAAAGGACGCCCAAGGACAAGTTAGTAATGTAGTTTGTAATGCAGGTGGCTTGGTAGCATTTTCGTGATGTCAAAGGCCACAAGACCTTTCAGAAGGTAGAATAAATGCGTTGAGCTACTTTCTTTTTTCCTCTCTCTCTCTCTCTCTTGCGATTGTCGAAGACTATCCGTGGCCGCGGTTGCACCCAATTCTTAATTCAATGCAAAGGCCCATAAGAAGTCAGCACCGACAAGGGTTACTTCAGAACCAGCTATCGGGCTCCTTCGGGTTTTCAACATGCTAACGCGAACTGCAACAAAACTTAAATGGCAGAGAGGTCAGCAAAAGCAGAGCAAGCCCTGCGCTGATCTATGCCAAGATGGACTGACAAGGCAACAAGGCCAAACGGTCATGGTCCAGTCTATACATTCATGCCACGGTATTGCTGCGGGCGCGCGCAGGCGATCGCATGGCCCTTACTAGGCCGCTACGCCCTGCGCATGTGCGCAGCTCTTCTCACTTCTTGTTGGGGCTCTAGCCACCTCTTTTTGTTCTTCCTCTGAACATTCGTTTCTGACTGCCCGGCATGGACTTCAAGTAAGTCGCCGAAGTTCTGCTGCGACTTGAAGAACACCTTAGCTGGGTGCTTGCCCTCCATGTACTTCAGGTGCTCGCCGAAGTTCTGCTGGGACTCTGGAAAGCCACTTCGCTTGGTGCTTTCTTTGCAAACTTCCATTTTCCTCTCTGACTCGTCATTTCCCTGCATAGGCCTGTCTTGGTCTCCAAAGTGCCGGATTAAGAACATCCGCGGAGTTGGAGTCAATACAACATAGGTGAAGACACCGTCGGAAACCAGCGCCAACTTCCAGTCAAAAAACTGAGAAAAATCAGAGCCAGCAAGCACGGAGCAATCCCCATTTCATTCCAAGCGTGACAATAGGACGCCCAGGACAAGTTAGTAATGTAGTTTGTAATGCAGGTGGCTTGGTAGCATTTTCGTGATGTCAAAGGCCAAAAGACCTTTCAGAAGGTAGCTTAAGCGCGAATGAACTACTTTGAATCGAACACTCTGCAGTGCGCTTTCTTGGACATGTAGAAACATGTGGAAGTGATACCCCTTTCCTCATCCATCGGCACGAATTCTTCATGAGTTTTGCCCAGGGACCTCAAAGCCAGGATTTGTGAGCCCCGCGCCTCAAGGTCTGAGTCATGGCTTTGGGCGCTGCTTCTTCTATGCAATTTTTGAGTGGTTTGACTGCACAAAGGGATTTGTTCTGAAGGACTTCAAGACAAATTGCCAGATATCTATCGATTGTACTGGCTCTTCTAGGGTTTCGCAAGATTTCAATTCAAGTACAAAGCTCAAACCAACAATTTGAACTACTACAGATCCTTTGCAGTTGCGGCCACTGCTTACTTAATGTGTGCCCCCTGGCAGGTTCTTGGGTGCAGTCTTGGCTGCCTTTCTCTTCAGCAAGGTGCGACCTGGAGACTTCGGTTCTGAGCCAAGCCCTGCAAAGCTCCGGGAGTCGCTGATGCTCGGCGAAGAAAGTCAAGTAAAGCGCATAAAGTATCATGAAGTGCATAAAGTATCATCAAGTGCTGGAAATGAGAAGCTGCGCGCATCTGTTTTGAAAGGAGAGAAGCACAACTGCTGATGCCCAGGCTCAGCGAGTTCTTGGGCGTTTTTGTTCTGGTCCTGACGGTGAGCACAAACATCTTGGGAGGCACGCGATATAGAAACATTTGCGACACTACATAATACGAACACAGACACCTGCAGAGACCAAACTACAAGAAAGAACCTGTGATGCTTCCTGGCTTTTTGCAAAGGAACGCTTGTGCTACAGACCAGGGTCACTGGAGTGGCCTTCAGCCTTACTCTTATTCTAAGCAACGCCAGGTTCAAGCACAGCAGCGCTCAGCATTGCATGTTCATTGTCCGCTATGATCTATGCTTTGGGAGATGTGTCAGGCTGAGACTGTTTTGGGTTGGGTCCTGCATTGGGCCCATGCAGTAGACAAGTGATTAAGCTGCAATCCCTTGGTACTCGCGTCGTTTGAGTCTGTGGACCTCTCCTGCAGGCGGCCACTTCAATCCTGCAGTAACGTGTGCTGTCTTCCGCAGCGGCCGTGACAGCACCTTCACATTGACGAAGGCGCTGCTCTACATGGCGGTGCAAGTGCTTGCAGGCGGATCTTTTTGAAGAAGCAGCCACTTATTGAACTATGAAGATCTAGTGAAGAGTTATCTACATACAAAGCTAGTTTGCATCCAAGCTGACTCCAAACCGCAAGGTATCGTCGCGGCCCTTGTCGCTGTGGGCATCTTTGGTGCGAAGATGGGAACCTTTGGAGCCAAGGCCCCGTACCATCTTCATCAGGTGCGACGAAACCAAGCACCAGCTGACGGAAACGGGGAGTTTACAGAGTTTAAACGTTACATGTCCGTGGACTTTGACATTTTGAGCCGTGTAAAGGCTTTGTTGGGCGAGTTGGTCTTCACCTTCACCTTGTCTTATGTGGTCCTTGGTGTGGCTGTCTCTGCTGTGACAAAGGCATGGCTCTGCCCTCCTTTGATGACTACACGCGCTATTTGAAGAGATTTAAAGTCAAAATGTTCCAGCACATAGAAACTGCTTACATGATGTGCAGTCAATCCAGGCGTCGCACTTCTTTGGATTGGCAATTGGCTTCTGCGTGGTCGTCGGGGGCTTCGCTATGGGAAATGTCTCTGGAGGATCTTTGAACCCTGCGGCGTCTTGAAGCAAAGTGATCCGCGAAGGATTTTCTTATGAGCTTTCCTCAACACAAGGACCTGAAGTTTTGGGTGCTTGACTCAATAGGATCACCATTTATTTGTGCTCCTGTCAACGTTTTAGCTACAACTACTGTTGTACTTTCTCTAAAGGGCAGTTTGCCCAGAAAAAACCAAAAAGAGACTTGCACATGATATGCAGTGAATGCAAGACCTTGTCGATGATCTATGCACTGCCGTATAACCGTCGCTGTCAACACCACTTTGACCAACTCGAAAGGCTGAAAGGTCGGTAAGATCTGCAAGGTGAGTCTTGGTGAAGCGGTGAGAAGAGAACATGATGCTTGACTCGGGCCTCTAGAATAAGGCCAGTCAAATGTCAAATAACATACATATAATATAGTAGCAATAGCCTAGTCTGTTCCTTGTTGTTGCAACTTCAAAACGGGGACCTTATTCAAAGGGCCCAAGTCAACCTTCTATTTTTCTTTGGGTTTGATCATTGGCGGAGTAATGTAAGGTGAGTCTTGGTCTGGCAGTCTCTGGCGGTGGTGCCGGTAGTGCTGCCGCCTATGTCCTGGTGGAGCTCTTGGCGGGTTTCTTGGCCGCGACTGCCTTCAGTGTGACCCACCAGGCAGGATGTGGATCAGGGCGAGAAAGGACGGACGAAGATTGAACGAGAAGTTGTTGAAGTGCTCTCGAACCCACCCGGAAACGTAGGTATTAGAGCGGTTTGCCAGAGGCCAACATTTTGTGAAATGGGGCTCTTGGCGGAAAATGGATTTCGGACACGGCAGCTCAAAGCTTGCACTGTGCAGGTGGAGTTGGAGTCCCCCGAAGCCAAGAGAATCACTGCTGACGCGTGAGATATGTCAATGTCTGTAGAGCCAGCTATAGCAGACCACAAGAGTGTGCAGACAATGGGAACACGCCGTTTCCAGGGCATAGACTATCGCCTCTAGTTTCAGCCTTCGGATAAGGAGAAAAGGATGACAGCAAGCTGGTGGATGATAGACACAACATCCTATCTCATCCTATCTCATACTTTACCGGGTCATGCCATTGAACATGGGTGAGAGTAGCCGGTATGCACGGCAGGCATAACGTTTGATTACAGGGCAGGATCGTTAATTGGAAATCTATTTCACCGATGGGGCTCAGTTGAGCTCAGGCGACGGCATTGTTGGACTTCTGGGCCGAGGCTTAGAGCCTGGGAGCCCAAGGGTTTAACATGAGGCCAAGAGATCTTGACAAGTTTGAAGTACTATTGTCGTGAGAGATGAAGCATTGTGGCCTCACCCAGCACAGCGATGGAGATGTTGGTGGATTCATTTTGCGCTTAAACTACTTCTGCTTGATTTTGTCCATCAAGCTGTTGGGAATTTGAGTCAGGGTTCACATCCAGCTTGGGAAATCAGGGCTTTATTGCCGAGCTGAGGACCAGGCTGCTGGTGAATGTGCTGCAAGGTCAGGGCAACGTTCTCGTAACTGGTGCCAAACATTTGAAGAGATGAGGTGATGCTCATACAGCGTGGTGCGAGAATGGGTGACATGTTCCAGGCACGTTCTTCACAATTGTTTGGAAGACCGTGGAAGAGAAGCTGAATTCTGGTGCGGGGCCTGGTCGGGACATCTGGAACCTAGTGCAATTTTGCTTGGACAAGTTCCAGTCTTGCCGGGGATGTCCACAGATACCTTATGTTGGAACCATGTTACCTTTTGCATGCTGTTGATGCCTTTCAAATTGCTAGTCGGAGGCTTCTGAGCTTTACCACTTCTGGATTGCTAGAGCCGATGGCAGCTGGTACGCTGTACAGAGTGCAACAACTTTAGCCGAGGGCAGCTTGCGACCAAAGGTGGAATGTCGCTCAAGACAACCTCGGATCGGAACAGTTTGGTGGCGGAGGAAGATTTTGAAGCGCTTAGAGATCCAAACAAAACTCTGAAGGAGATCCTCTGGCTTCGCCTTCCTTTGCTCATTTTCGGTTGCCACCAGTGCAGCCCCAGATCCGCGCCCAAACAAACGTGCGGCAAAAAGTACATGTTGTGTTTGTCCAGTCATCTCTGTTCCTTGGTTTGCTGCAAAGTACACCACGCGTTTTCTCCTCTGACCAGCGGCTGCAGCAGTTCCTGTTCCGATAAAGCATGTGATGCTCATGTTGAAATGGTCTTCATTTTCTGCCCGCGCAACAGCCGAATAACCAGGAAATGACATGGAATCCACCCCATAGACAGGACAAACTGCAGGTGGTCTTTGGCCTTGCTCTTTACACGCAAGTCGTGGAGCCTGTCACATGCCGACACTCCGAACTTTGCAGGTGGGCCAAGAGCCGATGTGAGCAGCATGAAGCAACATAAGCTAGTCTATATGTATATATATATATAAATAAATTTCCACCCAACAAATGTAGAAACCTGAGCTTGTTTGCATCAATCAAGTCTGAGCTTTTCTGCATGGTTTCTAGTAGCAGTAGTAGTGGCCTGCTGCTAGGCCTTCACGGCCTGCCGGAAAAACACACACATATATATATATAATTAAATATGTATTACATATGCCAGTCGAGAGCGCGCGGACGACGAAATGTGTTTGCGCCCGTAGCCTGGGGCTCTAGAGGGTTTAGGGCCAGGCATCCATGGAGCCTGAGCCCGTGGCTAGGCTCCTTAAGGAAGGGTGGGCCCGTCCCACGCGCGCTTTCTTTGATGACATGCCACGCCATGAGATCGACGAGTTGCTGCCGGGCATCACCGAGAGCTGGGACGACAACGACTACCTCACCTTGAAGCGGGAGGCGAAGAGGCAGAAGCTCCGGATGGACTTGGACGATAATCTGTTCTTGCAGCACCAGGCCTTGCTCTTCAAGGACAAGGCCTTCATAGAGAGGAAGTTGGATGACACGCCTTTGGGGCTGGCAAGGATCGGAGCTGATCTGCAGATGGTTCGGTCCACCCTTCCACGTGTAGGCTGGCGCTCAGGTTTGCATTGACGAGTTGCAGAGGGCGCCACGCAGGACCAGCGGGCTAAGATCGAGGAGAAGGAGAGAGAGAAGCGTATCTAGGAGCTGGTTGACCTCCTGAAGAAGACGGGCATGATAGATGGGGACAACCCCCTTGGAAATGCATCCAAGTACTTGGCGGCAAGATACGCCATGGGAAGAAGGGCGAACACCATCAGGCAGCATGTCAAGGTTGGGACACGGTTGCACGAATACATGTACAAGATCTTCGGCATCCCATGGCTCCGAGACGCAGGTGATTTGATTGGGTATATTTCCCTTCGTATGGAAGAGGCGTGCGGCAAGACGGTTCCAGGTTCGCTCTACAAAGCTGTCGTCTTCCTGGAGACCTCAGCTGAGGTGCCACCTGATCGCAGGGTGTCCAGCTCCCTCGCCCTACAGCACTTCCTCCAGGAGATCGAACGGTCTGGCGGCCAAAGGAAAGGGTGAATGCAGCCCGTTGGACATTGGAAATGGCCATCGCTTTAGAATATGGAGTCATGAACAAGGACATGGTCAAAAGCGTTTACAGTTGGTACAAGCTTGTAAAACTGTGGGGAGCCCTTCGAAGTCATGACACGGAGGCCATCCCGCCCGCTTCCATCAAGTTTGACAGGACGGACGGGTTGGAGGCGCAGATCATGAGGACCAAGACAGGGGTCAGGACGAAAGATAGAAATTGCGCACCTGTTCATTTCTGCGCACGCATGGCTGGTGTGCCGTGACTGGCTTGTTGAGGGATTGCGCCTGTATAGGAGCATGGATGGCAGCGAGAAGGCCTCCACTAGGGATTTCATGATGTGCCTTCCTAGTGCTGATCTGAGGTCATTCAGGACGACCATGATGAGGTACCCGAACGCAATGGTCTTCTCCAGGACCCTGATGACGGAGCTGTTGTCGCAGCGGAAGAACCAGTTCGGCAACTATGAGACCTTGATGGAGGCGGCCTCGAGCTCTTTCTGGTCCGAACACTCGGAGAGGGCGACGATCGTCTCTTGGGCGGCCTCATGTGAGGTGGACAGGGAGACCAGGGTCCCCCTCGGTTTGCGAGGACTATGTCACCTCGACGAGAGCGCTGCTGTTCAGCGCCCAGCGGAAGATGGCGTCCTTGCTCAAAGAGCAGTACGGGGTCAAGGACGTCGTAGTCGTAGATGATACACTTCACTCCAGGGGGTGTGCCACAAGACGGCGTCGGAGGCCAACAACGAGGCCAGGCGCATTGCGCCGCCCAATTGGGGAGGATGGGAAGAGCGCCCCAGGCTGGCTGCTCCATACCTCCACCAAGCTGGCCTTCGCTTACTTGAAGAGTCCATAGGGGGACCGGCCGACGAGGCCTCTTCCTTCGTGGCCTGCTGTCTTAGGAGAAGTGTTCCGGGCTTTTCACACCACGGACACCAAGAGAGCCAGGTGGTTTTCAGTCAAGCTCAGCAGGACCACTGCACCCTTCCTGTATGTGAAAGGAGAGCCCTTCAAGACCATAGCTAGTGCAGAGCTCCTGGCCGTCACTCTGGCCATCATGGTCTTTGGGCCCGAAGGTGGTTGGAAGAAAGGGGCAGGTCGGGTTGCAGTGACTGGCCTCACCGATAACATCTCCAACGCTACTTGCTTGAAAAATACCTGACCACTAAGTTTCCCACCTCCTTGGTTCTCATGGAGTTGTCCAAACAACTTGAACTCTACGACCTTGACCTCCATCTGTCGTGGATACCCCGCGAACAGAACGAACCAGCCGACGACCTTAGCAAAGGTCGCTTTGGGGACTTCACCCCGGAAAACCGCTTGGAGGTGAATATGGACGAGCTCAACTACCTGGTTTTACCAAGGCTGCTTAAGGCAGCCATGGAGTTCGACGAGGAGATCAAGCTCAAGAAGACTTCTAAGCAGAAGTCGACCACGGCAGACAAAGCTGCTCCTGAAGAACGTCTCCGCCTGACTCAGCCTTGGTAGCTGAAGAGGGGAAGACGGCTGGGGAAGTCGGAGCACTCAACCCCATGAAAAGAGAGCAAAGGAGCTCACACACACATATGTATATATAAAACTGTGTCGAGCTTTGGGCAGGTTTGGGTGCACAGTCTTCATTACATTTGGTACACTGTCCATTTTGGCTCAAGCCAAAAGTGGGACAGTGGAGTTTCTGTTCTGCTTAAGTTTTGCTGTGTGTGCTGTGGATGGCTTCGCAGCCGATCGTCGGTGTGCATGTCGCCATGTTCACGGCTGCTGAGGTGCTTTCGTCCGCCGCGTTCATCGAGTTCCGTCGCCAGGTCGATGCCCTTTTGGCCCGGGGGGACCGGGCAGGCGCGCTGCGGCTGTGGAGCTCGGTGGTTCTATTCGAACACATGCCTCCGTCTTCACGCGCGGGGGACGGGCCAGTCGGTTTTCCCCCTATGCGGATCTCAGTCTGTCCTAAGAGTGCATGCCCACGGTGCGATCAGGGGCGAGGGGGCTATGTGTTCCCGTGGGTCGGGATTTGGAACCGGCGCGGGACGATCGTGCCACCAGGGTTCACTCCTCAGCAGGCCTGGGATAGGCATGCTCGGTTGGACGCCGCAATGGACCTCCTCTTGTTGCAGCCCTACCGTACCCCGTGTTCTGCAGAGATTTTTGTGCCTATCTGTGGGAGTTCCAGCAGAAGGTTCCCGGGGATTTTGACCTCTTGCCCCTGCAAACCTTTCAATCTGAAGTTCTCTACTACATGCGGCGCTGGATCATGGGATCACCACACGGGTCTGTGGTCCAACCCCTTTCGTGCCCCGCTGCCAGATATTGAGCACTTGCCGCGCCATTTGGACGCTCTTCACCCGAAGATTCGTGCCCATCGAGCCCTTCGTGGATGGTTGGGGTCCTCAATCAACGGAGAGTCTGAGTTTCCTCCA